CCTTTTCGGGGAGTTTGAAAGAGGGTCCCCCAACACATGTCAATCCCTGATATGATGTGGTGGGCGTGGCTGCGTACTTCGCCGGCGTGGCTGTGCTTTTAATGAGACATTTTCATTTTGACCCAGTTGTGGTCGTGTCATCTCACGAGTAACCCGTTCTATGCCACGTTAGAATGCCACGCCTACTCCATCTCACGGATAAGAGGTGTATTCAGGTACAGCATCGTGATGTGTGAAATGGTGGTGCCAGTACGACTCCCCCCCCCTTACCCAACACCTACCTATCAATTTCCCACATTTTCCAATTTTTTACCTAAAAATTTTCCGTCGTGGGGGAGGAGGCATAGCCAGTGTGAAACGGGAAAAATTCTTAGATTTACCCAACTTCCTCCAAGTTCCTACCACTTCTTCCGAATTTTCCTACTATTCCCAAAAATTTTGCTGTCCAGCTAAGGGGAGGAGGGTGCCGGGGCATATAGTACACATGAAACAGGAAAAATCGCGAAAAGTCAACAACCGGGAAAATTTTTTTCCTCAACGCAGCAAATTTCTCTCAAAGCCACATGCGACCCATCCCCTCTCCCAACAACGACCAGATACGACCCCCCCCCCTCCCTTGCAAAAAAAGTACGACTTCCATGTGTTTCATACAACGATGAAGCACCTGGGTGTATTTGCTCTTGAAAGGAGATTTAGAATGCATGCTGACCTCTTCTAACCTCTTCTAAAGAGACCTGTTTCTATTCCAGAACCGATACCAAAGACTCTGTGCAGATCTTTGGCTGGCTGCTCCTGCTCATCGATTGATAACAATCAGTACTCATGTACATGCCCGAAGGGAGCGAAATGCCTACGTAAGATCTTCATTGCTCAACTTATGAACGAACTTTTTCCTCAACTTTGCATTTTTCAGTACTAAAGGGACCGCCGAAACTTTACGTTGAACCTCCTGGCCCATATGAGGTCCCACCCGGAGGCAACATCAACATTACTTGTTCCGCTGTGGCTTACCCCTTCCCAGATATTTTTTGGCAGAGGTGAGCACATAATTTCGTAAATGGATGCACTTCTTGCAGAGAGTGCAGCTTCACAGAGTAATATGGTTTCAGAGGCGATGAAAAGATTCACCACATGCCTGCAAAAGCAGGAACCGTGAAGAACGAGCAGATTCTCATAATAAAAGAGCTTTTCAAAAATGCTGAATTCACTTGTCATGCGAATAATTCAGAAGGAAAAGTGGACAGGACTATCTCAGTTATAATCACTGGTAAGTGGCCGTTAGAGGTTGCAACAGCGGCAGTGAGAATTTCATCGATTTTCAGGGACCCGGTTCGGCGCCAGTACTGCGAAGTGCTCTGTCAGGCAGGA